AAACATCAGCGTGTGATCAGCATTCTTCTCATCCTAAATCCTAAATCCAGACCACAGCACTGTGCCTGCTGCTAGGAAGAAAATTAACTCTAGCCCAGCCGAAACCAGGACAAGCAGGTACCGGCCCTCGAGTCTCTTGCAGATTGTCAGCGTGCTGCTGCTTGAACGTTTGTTAAGGAAAGTTTCATAAATAAAAGCAAGGGAGGGTGCCGATTACTGCCACAATTTTCTTACTGAAGCAGAGCTTTATGCATTTGCAGAGTTACTACTCTGCAGAGTTACCAGCTTTTGTTCAGGCAGAGAATGAGGTGACCTCAAATGCTAAATCCCATTTTACTCTGCTTAAATGACCAGCTGCACCCCACTACAGCAGTCTGTACCCTCGTTATTAGCTTGTTGTCTTCACGGTTTGGATATTGGTATTGGATATTGATATTTGGATATTGGCTACCGAGTCCTCTGGCACCAGAGCGGGTCTGTTCACCGGGGGACCAAGGCTGGACACGGCGGGCACCCCGCCGGCAGGTGCCCCTTCAGCACGGGCGTCTTCACGCCCTTCGGTGCAATCTCGGTTGGGCTTCAGAGGAGATCGTTCTTGAGCGGGCAGCTCATTTTGCTGGGTTCCTCAGCTGATCCCGGTGGACAGGTTCCTCCGCATGTCCTGTCGTTAGGTGAGCCATTAAGGCGCGTGGTTAGCGGGGAGCTTGAGCAACAAACGGGAAACTACATCCATTTAGGTCTGCAATGTGTCAGTCAACTGCAAAAAATAATATATCTATATATATATGTGCCTGTCTTGTGAAAAAATAGCTCTAGAGCTGTGCAAGACAGACCATTAAGTTAAAACTAAATCTTCAGAACACAGTGCATCTAAACACAACTTGTTTATTACTGGCTATTTTATTTATACCAGTCATGGGATATTCAACTACCGACATGGGAACAGCAAAACATCGCTTTGAATTCTGGCTTTGGACAGCGACGCAACAAGCGGCAGCTGTGAGAATTTTGCTTTAAGACCAGAGAGCGTAGACTTAAACCCTGATATAGCTCCCCTGGAACAAAACCAGGGGCCAGGATGCCACCGCTGGCAGGCAGTGCTGGAACGCCCCGTTCCCGGCCTTTGCATTAAAAGCACATCTTTGCCCGGTGCAAATGCACAGGTGTGGGTGCACCTGTTTTTTTAATGAATAATCAGATGTAAATTAACAACAAAGGTGAAAACTGAACCATGTGCTTCTCTGCTGTACCTAAAAGGAAAAGAAAGCGGCCATTACATTAATTTTATTTACTGTTGAGGGACACTTGAGTACCTTTTGTACAAATTTCAGCAGTGCCATGTAATCTACACTGTTCCCTTTTAATGTTTGTTAATGTATATCTAAAAACTTACTTGCCATCGTTCTAAAATATGAACGAAATTGTGACATCTGGTCCAAAGCCCGCGCAAGGAGTATTTGTAATAGCAAGAGTTTTTACAAATACAGCTCGCACTAGCTAGAAGGGGAAGATACAGAAAAGGCATCGCCTTAATGGGCTCTGCTTTGCTCAACATTCATTCCTCTTCAATGAGGAAAATAAAAACTGTAGTGTTCTCGCTTGAGAAACAGCCAATTTTTCCAATATTTTCCTGCCACCTTAGCATAGTAACAAATACTATGCCTGTTGGATACAGTGGTCAACGAGTAATTACATTTTCTGTGTATTTAAAGGTTGAAGTAATTAAAAATGTTAAATCTTTTCAATAAAAAATACAAAGACTGACCTCAGTTCTTGAGAGGATGAGGGGAGAGCGCCCCGTTTCACCCATGCGCGGCCCAGTGCCGTAGTTGCAGTTCACAGAAGCTGCGAGTGGCCTCGGGGGCTAATCTGTATTTTTCTCTTAGTACTTTCCTTGGCCATTAGGAAAAGCCGGCGCTCAGACGGAGACTGGAATACACTCCTCCCGCTTCAGCCCCTCTCTGCCGTTATTAATAGGCAGACCATTTTCCTGCCGATCATTTATATACAAATATATATATATCTCCCCATATATTTCTTTTGCTTCCCATTCCCTTCTATTTTTTTCCAGGTACAACTTGTTTGATCGCGCTGCTGTCGGATAAAGAACTCACGGTGGCCAACGTTGGTGATTCGCGAGGAGTCCTGTGCGACAAGGATGGGAATGCCATCCCCTTGTCACACGATCACAAGCCCTACCAACTGAAAGAGAGGAAGAGGATTAAAAGAGCTGGTGAGTCGTAATGGTTTTGCTTTGGATTGAAGGTTCATCTTTTTTCTTCTCTGTTCTGTCAATAATATAGACTTCTCCGCTCAGGGAGACTGAAAAGTCTGCCAGACTGAGGCACCAGCTGATAAAATCTTCCATTATTAATACAACGCTTTTCAGCGGGATTTCATGGTGCAGACAGAAGTGGGAGCAGGTTGACCTGTCCCTTAATAAGCCAGTGGCTGGGTAAGAAGAGCAGCCTTCATCTTCAACAGCCAGTTGACCATCCCGGCCAGTTCCCTTCCCATCTCTGCAGGGAGCAAACGAATAAACAGGAGCAGCAGCATTACAGGCTGCCTCACAGCAAACCCTGCCAGCAGCCTTTATGTGAGAGGCTGGGTCTGAAGCCGAGCGAGGTTTAGTTCCTAAAATAAGCAGAGCATGAAGCTAATTCATCAAAGCTTTTTTTTGTTCCCATATAGTGACTGCTAATCAGCACAAACACGTAAACTGTAGCAGGAGTATAGGGGAAGAATATAAGAAACGGCAACCTTTCCGCAATAAATCTTCCTTGCTTTCATCACTTGTCAGTTTAGCGACTGCCTGGGCTAGAAATTACATTTGGATCATCAAGCGTAATAGCCAATTCTCCATGAATTTGTCAGAGTCTCTTTTGAACCCACTTCTGGTTTGGCTCCCACAGCAGCCTGCAGCAGCAAATTACTCGATGAAGAACAAAAGTTCCTCGTGTTTGTGTTAAACCTACCGCTGAGCGTTGCCTCCAGAGATGCGTGGCCTCTCTGCCTCCACGTCTTCGTCTGTAAAGTGGAAATAACAAGTTTTTCCCGGAGCATAAAACGTTTTTAAAAGCTGCAGGTTATCAATAACGCTCACAGCAGCGTAAACGCCCGCGCGCGCGCTTTCCTCGCAGTTTGCTTTTGTCGCCGAGGAGGCGTAAGAGCGGGGGGGATCCTTGCTGCTGCTAGACCACGTGTGTTCCCCAAAAGGGAAGAAAAAGCATACGGGTCCTAAGAAGAAGGAATAGCAAAATCTTGGACTCGCTTTGTTTCAACTCTCTGCTTGGGGGATGCATCAATAAAATCTGGAGATTTTTCTGTAAAATCGCTTCCCCCTCAGCCAAGTCCGGCGCCTCCGTGCGATTGTTCACTTAGAGAAGGCCTTCACTGAGGAGAAAAAAAATAATTTGGGTATTTCTTCTGTGTAGCAGCGAGGCTTTATAACACAGCAACGTGAAAAATGAACCTGGCTTTTTGCAGGACTTTCCAACTTTGGAAGCAATTATTTTAATAGACAGGTAATTGTTATAACTATAACCAAGAAATACTCTGTCCAGCCTCGTGACTTAATGAATTCACTTCCCTCTTCCCTACTGCCCCACTGTATTATCATGATCGATATGGCCTCATAGTGCTGTTACAATCATACAGGCCAGTTTATACTGCTGCCGGATGCTTTTACATTTTGGAGCATCCCTTCTTGACATACAGCAAGTGTAAAATTGAAGCAAAGTGCCCCAGCTGAATTATCAAGCCTACATTGCTACTGTGACAAAAGTACCTTATTTCCACCTTCTGGGTGCTTTTTTGCCACGTCGAACTGAACAAAGTGACAATAACCGCATCGTTCTGTTATATTTTGGTTTTCCAACCCTACGTCACACCAAGCTGCACTGTCCAGCGCCCTACAGGTAGTTATAAAACGACTGCACGTTCGTGTTAGTAGGATTAGATTTCATTTAAAAGTGAAATCCATATAGCCACGGTTGAGAAAACATCCTTCAGCCCTCAGTCTGATATAAATCAATTTGAGGCAGCCTGAAACAGCAGCTCGAAGAAGAGCGTGACTGGCCCTGTGCATTTCAGCGGGGCGGTAACATCGGGGTGACAAGTCTAAACTAATCCTAACATTAAGTTAAAAATAACAGACCATTTAAACTAACATTTTTTTGCTGCCGTGGTGGATGTTAAGGAGGCTCGCCGCTGTCAGCGGGCGGGGGACGGGGAATGAATTCAGCCCCTCTCTCTTCCCCACTCCCAGCAACTGCGTACAACCAGTTAGGCAACCCACAACCTGAAAAAAAATTCCGATTTATCAGTCCGGCATGACTCGAGCAGCTCTCACGCCGCAGCCCCAGAAGCCAGCGCGCCGGTTTCCCGTGGGAGTTCCTGCAGTGCGGCGAGAGGTCACTGGTGCCCAAGCCCGCAGCCAAATGCCGAAAAGACAGACGGCAGCTCAGAGAACAGGGCAGGGCCCTCCATTTTGAGCTGAGCTGCCGCATCCTGTGGAATTACCTGCTCCGCAGCGTGGCTGTGCAGTTAACAGCACCGGTCGCAGGGTTTTCCTCCAGACTGACTGTATTTTCTCAAGAGGCCGGCTGATGCGCGCTCACAAGGGCTGCGGTGCCGCTCGTCTCGCAGCTGAATGAGGTCGGGGTCCCAGCACTCTTGACTCGTTCCTGTGGGATAGGGGAATGCATGTCCTGCGACACAGGGATGCTGGTTTCCCAGAAAACACAAGGAATCTCCTTCTGATCAGGAGCTTGAGCGACGCGTATAGTAGAGAGTGGCCTTGAAACAACCGCGGTTCGGGCTCGTGAAGCAACACTCGGTTGCAGAGCCACAAGGTGACTGTCACCGACGGGAATTTAAGTCCTTCACCTTGAACATAATCCTCTGAGCTCAGCGCTCGCTAGCATGCAAAATGCGCGTGCGGTTGCCAAAAAACTTCTATTTCTTTAATGCCTTTTCTTCTCCGGTGACAGCCAGCGCCGCAGAATGTTTGCTTTTCCGTGAGCGTTTTTATGTATTCTGTATGGATAGCTTTACAAAAGATAATGTTAGAAGTGCCGACAGACCATTCAGCAAAGCACAGGAATTCAACTTGTGCCGTACGGCACCGAAAGTCACTTTGTATGCGTAAGCACAACCTGCAAAGACCGGAGCAAGCACGCTGCAACGAGTCGGCAGCATCAGCTATCTCCTCTGCAAGCACAGTGGCGGGTGCAAGCCCTGCTGTCCTCCGCTTGCGTGGAAAATGTCTACTTTGAACTGCCTCTTTATAGCGTTTTGCATCCCTTGTCACGCCGGTACGTACACACGATTACACTCCAGTTACTACAGCCCTAATCGCTTATGAATCCCGCCCTGCGCTGGTGAGTAGGTGGCTGTGTAACATCCAACCGAGGCGCCCTGGAAACCTGCAGCAGCGGGACGAGGTGTGTTTGACCGCACATCTGCAGAGGAGCGGCAGCAGCCTCCCTTTTTTTGACTATGGAAGGGAAGTTCCATATGGAAGGGAAGTTCCATATGGAAGGAAACGCCATAGAAGTATTCATGGAAACAGCCAGCTAAGAAGTTTTGTTTCTGCTGGTTTTAACACAAATCAAGTTTTGAGCTTTAAACAACAATGAATCATTAAATGAAATGTAGTTTCACCTGAAAGCAGAAGGAATTTACAGATTAGATGCCAACCGGGAATGGAAATGCTATCGTAAGATTTAGGGGACTGACAAATAACGCACGGGCTGAAGCGCAGAGCCGAAAACATTCTGACAACTACAAAGAACAAAGAACACCAAAGCAGACAGCTTGCAGATGTAGAAGACAACAGTTCACCTGATTTTGTGTTACACTTTCACGTTCCGTGTTTGCAAAGTATTTGTCCTCAAGTGACTTTTCATTCACGTTAAGATGGCAGGAATATTGCTGTGAAACAGTGGCACGCAGGTGCATGCACCGGAATTGAAGGTGCCGAAATTTTACTCTTTGACCTTGAACGCTGTCTAGTTCCCTCCCTGGCACGATCAGACCGTGTGAGAGCCAGGTGCTGGCTGTGTCGGGGTCATCGATTTCAGTGCAAAGCGTATCTCGCTATAAGCAACCCCTAAATAAAATACCTATTTTCAGCTGGAAGCAGCTTTCATCCTGGCGATGGTAAAATCAATCTGTCAGATCCCACACTGCATTTTTCTGACTTGAAGTAAAATTTCGTGATCGGTTTGTTCACAGCAGTTTTTTGGTCCTTTTTTTTGACAGAGCTCATTCGAGGCAGTTTGATAGAAGGGCCTATAAATGTTTTTGCACTTGCTGCTTTGCTTTATGCCTTAAAAGTGAGATGTGAGTCCTACCGCAGGAGCGCTTGCAGGGTTGTTTCCTTCATAGATCTTCTGAAATGGCGAAAACCTGAACTACACAGAAAAAGGAGAGGTTTACTGACACAATATAAAGATTTGCTTTCGGTATTTTTGTCTTAACGTCGCCGTAAGGCTTTCTGAGCAGTAAGTTGCGTGGAACGGGAATACCTGTGTTCAGGAAGTTGTCGGTCTCGCTGGGGGAGTCGAGAGCACGAAGCTGCTTCGTTTGAAAGCGGAGCCATTCCCAACTTCTCTGCTCCAGCTGTTTCGGCAGCACTGGCAGCCACAACCCAGCTCTTCCCTGCGGCGCTCCGAGATTTACGTAAGGCACCTGCTGCTTTTTGAGCTAGGTAACATCCGTATACCTCGGGATGCTGCCGGATGAATTTTTGGGTGGGTCTGGCAGGAAGCCAGAGAAATGCTTTAACTTTAAAAAGAACTGCTTTAAGTGTTGGTGTTTCTCTCCAGGTGGTTTTATCAGCTTTAATGGCTCTTGGCGCGTTCAGGGGATCCTGGCCATGTCCCGCTCGTTGGGAGATTACCCTCTGAAGAACCTGAATGTTGTCATTCCCGACCCCGATATTCTTACCTTTGACCTGGACAAACTGCAGCCGGAGTTCATGATCTTGGCGTCGGATGGTCTGTGGGATGCTTTCAGCAATGAGGAAGCTGTCCGATTCATCAAGGAACGCTTGGATGAACCACACTTCGGTGCAAAGAGTATAGTTCTACAGTCCTTCTACAGAGGCTGCCCCGATAATATAACAGTGATGGTGGTGAAGTTCAGGAATAGCAGCAAAACAGAAGAACAGTAATGACCGGCGGTCCTCTGCCTCACTCTGAACTTAAAAACAAACTCTTACATTTTAAACGTAGTAGAAAGCTCTAGTAAATACCGTTAAGATTCTACACGGAAGGAACAGATCCCTCTGGTCTTTGTTCTTTGCTTAACAAAAGGAGCAATACAACAAATACATTCTGAGTGATTCTAAGAATTAAGTTGGTTCACATGTACCTGTCTCCTGTGACCTTGCTGCTCCTTAGAAACTAACTGTAATCTGCCATTTCAGAATATTCTTTACAAAGCCTGCGTAGACTTTTCATTCGATTCCTTACCTCTCATTTCCAACAGTCGAAGGTTCGCTCAGATGCACAGCAGGGTCGGGGCGGTGCTGCCGCTTAACGGCAAGCGATAGGAACGATGCTGCTCTTCACTCGTAGGTGTGACCAGAACGATGCTCTCATGTTTCTCTTTTTTTTTTTTAAATCTGCAGTGATAAGGTTGTCTAGGAAAAGGTTTGCAATTAATGGCCTGTTATTGATATGAAGGAGGAAGAGACGCCAACTGTTCGCCTGCTACCACCGAACCGGCTCTCTCGCTTTGTTTAACCCCCCCGCCACCCTTAAATGAATCGAGCATGTGATTAGGTAGAGTTACCGCATTACCTGAAGCCACACGGTTATTCAGGCCGTGCATTACTCCAGTAACAGTCCTTCTAGGCCATCTAGTAGTCAAACCAACTATGTTAAACTCCAGCAAAATACTCTGAGGTCCGACACCTCCTGTATCAAAAAATAGCTCTGTTGTGATAGAAGAACGTCTGTCAATAGATTTAGACTGGGTATAAGGAAGAAATGTTTTACAGTGAGGGTGGTGAGGCACTGGCACAGGTTGCCCAGAGGTGGGAGATGCCCCATCCCTGGGAACATCCCAGGCCAGGCTGGACGGGGCTGTGAGCACCCTGGGCTGGTTAAAGCTGTCCCTGGCACTGCAGGGGCTGGGCTGGGGGAGCTCTGAAGGTCCCTTCCCACCCAAAGCATTCCATGGTTCTATGATTCAGTGAGATTCACCCTTACATTAGGTTTTTTTTGGCACGGACTTTTCATAGGCATGTAAAGAAAGTAATGCAAGATAAAATTAATTTTGTTAGTGACTGTTTAGAAAACTAATCAAAACAGGGCGCTCCTGAGAGCTGCCTAGTTGGAAGTCAAGTCTATTAAAGATTTCCTCGTACCACTGCAGATTAATTGGTGGTGTTAATCCAGGGGAAGACCACTTTAGAACCAGTTTTTGGTATAATGTATAAATGGCGGGCAGTGTCATTGCACCATAGAGATGAAAGCTTGTGTTAAATCTAGATAAAAATACGTTTAGATCTAACTTTCAGTATTTAATTGTATTTTGGAATCTGTGACTACTGTACGTTTAACAATGACAGTCTGAGTTCGCTCTGCATCCGGTAACGTCGCCGGCTGCTTCATGACCGAGAGGCGGCGGCGGCCGAGCGACGGGGCAGCGCGCGTTGGAGGGAGAGAGGCAGGGCCTGGGCGGGAGGTTAGTGTTTCGGATGGCCTGCTTCCCCGTACCGTGTCCTGCAGCAACCCGTGGGATCTCCTCCCCGCAAACCGTGGTCCTGGCCGATCTGCTGAAGTCTCTGGTCTTCAAGGTGATGGAGGTGGTCAGTACTTGGCTCCTGAGGGGAACCGGGGATATAATGCATTAACTTGGGCCGTTTCTTGGGTAAAGATATGCTATTACTTAGTTAAAAAGTTTCTCGTCGCCCACCTGTAGGGTTTTTGGGCAAGTGGCTCGCTGGTCCCTAAAGCACCGTGCTGTGTTGTGGTTGTGCGAAGCGGGCGTGACAGCTCGCGAGACAAAAAACGAAAGAGCACAAATGCTGCTCTCTGCTCGAGAGGGAATTCCCACCTTAGTCTTTTCATTTTTGTTCCTAGGTTACCGCTTCCCCAACAAATTTCCCTCCTTTTGTTTGCTTGGAGATCATCACAACTCTTAGTTGGGTCTGTTGCTATTACCGGTGCTATTCACATTGTACCCGTAGCCTTTGGCAGCCTCTTCCCATCCCAGGCGCTGGGTAGAGCCTTTGACTCCGAGGAACAGACGAGGGAAAAGCAGAAGTATGAAAGTGTCCGGCGTCCTCTGAAAGCAGCAGGCACCCCGCCCGCACCCATCCTTCCCCGCAGGGTGGAAGGTTTCGGACTTTTTAAATCTCTTCAACGGTGTGTTCAGTGAATTTTAAATGCAACTTTGCAGTTAAATTGAGCAGCTAACAGGAAACATTAATAATTGCAGAGCGCTTCAGTTATTTTATTTTGAAAAGGTATTGGAGGTCAGACCGCTGTGAAATGAAAACCTCGTGTGATATTTTCATGGGAGTGCTTAATCATGTACTCGGAATGCTGCAGCAGCAGTATCGGAACTCCGCTCCGGGCAGAGCTCGCGGTGCGGGTAGCGTTTGCCTTTCCTTTCTCCTTCACAGATGATGTTTCCCTTGTAGTGGCTTTCCTTTGTAGGACGCTGCCTGGATGTTTGTCAAAACAGCTGCTCAGGGAAAAGAAGAATTAGACCCAGCAGCCTACAGAACGCTAAAGCAGCGGGATGCTTGTATGGCAGAGACATCACCGCTAATCCTTTACGGGCGTTTGAGAAATGGTCAGCTCCAAAAAAAAAAAAAAAAAACCCACCCCAATTCTAGACTAACGCCACTTGAGCGAAAAGCTGACGGCAGCCACTAAGCCTCCCGCAGCTCACGTCCTGGAGGCTGGCGAGCGTTGCTGAGGGATGCCCGCCCTTCTCCCGAGCGCAGCTCGCTTGCTGGTTGCTCCGGCGCTCGAGACAGGCAGGGAAATGAGGTGGCAGGAATCGTACGCGTTCAGAGAGTCCCGGAGCAGCCGTGAGGAAGCAGTGGGAGGGTGGCTCCCTCTGGAAGTAAGCCACGCTCACAGGACTTAGGAAAACACGTAGCGCAGTGCAATGCAGAACCGCTTTGCAGACTTCTCTGGGTATTTATGCCAGGATTCATTTACTCCGGCACTCACAGGCCCATCCAGGCCGTTACCGAATCAGCCCTATTTCAACCTTGGAGTGTCCGCACTTGCAAATGTAGTTGTTTTAGCACCTTCAGGTTTCTCTGCAGCACTCCCACCTTTGTAGTAGCTCTTTCCTGGCCAAAGACGTTCATGCCAATGATCTCTGGTGAGGTTGTTGACTTTTGGGTTTATTACTTTAAAAAAAACCCTAGTTACAGCTACTTTAGGTTTAAAGATGAAGGCCTAACGGAGGTGACGGGCTTTGTGCAGTCTTCCACATACGTGCGCAGTGCCCACCTATGCTCCCTGCTGCAAGTCTGCTGAGAAGGTTGTAATTCCGTTCTAGCCATCTACAACTTCCCAGCCCATTTGTGCCAAATTCTGTCGTGATACGTACAGCTGTTGGATGGCAAGATTAAGCAACGTACGCATTGCTTACGCAGCCTAAACCATCTAGGGTCTGATCCTCCACTGCCTTAATAATACAGCCTACAGCTGGAAAGGGGTTGCCGGGCACTGCAGCCAGGAATATCGCCAGGTACGCTGGAGCAGCGTGGCAGAATGCTTTCCTGCCTGGGCACCTCTCCAAAAAAAAAAAAAAAAAAAAAAAGGGGGCGGTTGAAGCAGCTTGCACACAGCTGAGCGCTCCCTCTTGCCGTACGGGTTCATGGAAGGTTTTTTTTTTTGTTGCTTAAGCCCGCGTAGCTCTATTGGTGTCATCTGTTCATTAGGTGAGAGCATCACATGGCAGAAAAATGATATTTGGAAGTTGCTGCCGCAGAGCATCTTCTGCGTGGGCCAATATGAAAAAACGTACCTTGTAATTCTTCATCTGATCCGGTATTTAAAAGAATTTGGGCTCTTCCCAGTGGTGTTACGAGCTAACGGTGTAACTCGCATAGTACATCTGAAGGCTACTACTGTTTAGCTTCTCACTCTGACTACAGGCTACCCTTTCATTGATCATCCCGGTTAGGTGCTGGTGGGGTTTTGGGAAGGCTGTTCCTTCGTGTGCCGGGCGGGGGGCTGCAGCCGTCGCTGTTGGTAGCTCCTGGGGCGGTTTTGGGGCTCCCGGTGGAGGCCCCAAGCCGGTTCAGCGTTCTCACAGCTCCGTCTAGTGGCTGGCCTAAGCCCGGTAACCGAGCAGCGCGCGTTCAAGTCACCAGTCGCTCTCTTAGCCCCTGCGAAAAACGCGATTTAAAGCCTCCCTTTGTGCAGAAAGCTCGCTGTGAGGTTCACGCAAACCCCTTCTCTCTGGCCAAATGGCGCAGCAGCGCTGAAGCGGCGCGGGTGGAACGCGCGCATCCCCAGCCGCAGCTGGGAAACGCGGATACTCGGCTGCTAAAAAAAAAAAAAAGGTGCGTGGAAATTCGGCGCGACGCAGTCCTGCCCGGCATCCCCGCCAGCTCACCTCCCCTTGCGTGGGCGTCTTCGCCGCTTGGGTGAACGCACGTCAAACGCTTCTTTGTGGCATCCAAACGTTTGGCAACGGCGCGGCTTCCGCAGAGCGCGGCGATCCGGCAGAGGAGAGTCCGGAATTCGTCGCCAGTCTCCGGGGTGGCAGGAGACGCTGGTTTACCTCGTCTAAAATGTACGCCGCTGCTTCTGTTGCGACGTCCAGCAGCGGTGGTCTGGGCAGATTGATCCCGTCTCTGGGGGAGGAATGGTCGCAGACATTGCAAGGACTGCGGCAGCACGGCGGTCGTAAAATCTCTAAAAGTACGCAATGTGAAATGAATGAGCCTGTTTTACTGAATAGAATGTTTGGATCAACATAAATAAAGTAAATGCCGTCCAACGTCACGAAGTATTGTCTACTGACTTGTGAACACAAGGTCAGTACCAAAACTACTGCTAACGTCATTACAGTATTGTACAATTTACGTAAGGTAAAATTAAAAAGAAAAAAGAAAGTTGTGACCTCTTTAGAATACAGAAGTTTGTACTAAAGCACTGCGTCAGCTTGGAGTAGCGGTGTTTGCTACAT